AGGATAGACACCTTTCAAATAAAAACCGAATGAGAAAATGACTGCAAGCTCACTTGAAAATGACAGATCATTAGAAAGTGACATCACTAAAATGAGGAAACAAGTCACTGAACTGAAAAGTCAACTTACCCGACTAAAGACGCAGAAAGCAGAGTCAAATGTGCCTTCTCAAGACAGTGAGTTTGCTGAATTAAAAAGACAGGTTACTGAGCTTCAGAGTCAACTCACAAGCATAAAACCAACAGCCTAAGGCGAAGACTAATGTGACTACAATCAGTGCAAAGTTTCCAACCAAGCCCAAAGTGAGTAAATCTCCTCCTTCTGCAGACCAAAACATCAGTAGCAGACCAAAGCCATGGTAATGTTTTTAGTATGGAGAGGACGGCCATATTGCAGTTGCATGTCGTAATGATCTAAATCCATCATTAGTGGCTGCCAAGAGAAAACAACTAAGAGAGAAACAGTCTCTGTGGGACAGTCAAAATGGAACAGTCCAGCCCCAGTCTTTAAACTACGGCCAGCCCTCATTGTGGGACAAATGAGAGCTAAAGACAGTGACGACAGTCCAACCTCTCATAAAAATGCATGAATGCAAAGCCAAGGAGAATTTTTCACACACAAGATCCACTGCTGTGAAAATACCTGAAGGTCTTCTCATGTACTCATCGATGGACAGGCTTGCAATTGCCTTCTTGATACAGGATCGCAGGTAACCACTGTATCGCAGTCATTCTGCAATAACAACCTCTCCCACTTAGATATTCACCCCCTGAATGAGCTGTTAGAAATAGAGGCTGCAAATGGTCAAACTGTACCTTATTCAGGCTTTATAGAGGTAGACATCACCTTTCCAAAATACTGTGGCCCTGAAATAACCTTGTCCACATTTGCATTAGTTGTCCTAGACACACGGTCTAATGTGCAGTTTACACTCTTGATAGGCACCAACACCTTGGATTTGGTGTATGAAGATTTTGTATATGGTCACAGTGTTGTTCTGAAAATAATGCAGCAGCGAAATAAGCAAAAAGAGTTAGAGACAAGACAAAGTTAAGCACCAAATCAAGTTGAGTGATGAAACCTCTTTCAAGCATAGATCTCGGCCCATACGTCCTCAAGATCTTGATGCTGTGTGGAGACACCTGCAACAGTTGAGTGAGGCTGATGTAATCCAGGAGTCTGAATCATCTTTCTCTTCACCCATAGTGGTGGTTAAGAAGAAAAACAGAGACATAAGACTCTGTGTGGATTACCAAAAATTGAATCGACAGACCAGAGATTCAAGAGCAGTTTAGTGACTGCTCTGCCTAACCTGGAATAAACCTTCTCTGCACTCACAGGTTCAAAATAGTTCTTTGTCCTGGACCTCAAGTCAGGGTACTATCAGATCAAGGTAGATGAGGCTGACAAACACAAAACCGCCTTTGTATTTCCATTGGGGTTTTGGATGCCTCAGGGCATAACTAATGCTCCCAGCACATTTCAAAGATTGATGGAGAAGTGCATGGGAGATATCAACCTGAAAGAAGTCCTGGTGTTTTTAGAAGACCTGATAGTGTTTTCTGAAACGCTTGAAGAGCACGAAACTCCCCTTCTCTATGTTCTCAACCGTCTCAAGGAATACGGGCTGAAACTGTCCCTGGAGAAATGTAAATTTTTCCAAACGTCAGTGAAGTACTTAGGACACATTGTATCCCAGCATGGCGTTGAAACAGACCCCCAGAAAGTTGAGGCACTAAAGACCTGACCAAGTCCAAAGAACCTTAAAGAGCTGTGTTCATTCTTGGGTTTTGCCGGTTATTACTGGATGTTCATTCAAGATTACTCCAAGATAGTCAAACCACTGAATGACCTCACTACTGGGCATCCACCACTTAGAAAGAGTAGTGGTTTGAAAGAGAAGAGTAGTCAGTACTTCCAACCAAAAGAGCCTTTTGGAGGAAGGTGGATAGACAGCTGTCAACAAGCTTTTAAAGTCATTATTGGCAAACTCACTACAGCCCCAGTGTTAGGTTTTGCTGACCCCAAGCTGCCGTATGTATTACATACAGATGCAAGTACAACAGGGTTCGGAGCAGCACTCTATCAGGAGTAAGAAGGAAAGATGCGTGTGATTGCATTTGCCAGCCATGGAATGTCAAAGAGTGAATCTCGCTATCCAGCTCATAAACTTGAGTTTCTGGCGCTCAAATGGGCTGTAACTGAAAAGTTTAAGTGACTGTTTGTATGGAGGCTCTTTTACAGTGCTCACAGACAGCAATCCACTAACTTACATTCTGACCATGGCTAAGTTAGATGCAACCAGTCAACACTGGTTGTCTGAACCTTCAAGTTCCAGCTTCAATACAGAGCAGGGAGACATAACCTTGATGCTGATGGTCTTTCACAACGTCACCATGCTGAACCTGTTAATGATCAGGTTCCTCAGAAAGAAGAAGTGAATTCGCCAGTTTATACAACACCACTTGACTGAGTCTGACGATTTTTCTCAAGTCTCACATACCACGGTTTCAGCAGTCTGTGAGAAACACCTAGTCTGCCTACCTGTGAACACAGATGAAGATATTCCCATTATTCCTCTTGAAACATCTCTTGCTATGTCAGCACAAGCTATTCCAGATAGTTTTGAGTGATGTGACAGGTTTTCTGTCATTCCAAGCATATCGGAGGAAGATTTGAAGCAAAAGCAAAGAGAAGATCCTGTGGTCTCTTTAGCCATCCATCAGTTGGAGACAGGGGAAACTCCTCCCCCAGCGGTAATGCAATAACTACCAGAGCTTGCAATCCTTCTGTGAGAGATGACTAAATTTGAACTGCAGAATAAAATCCTCTGCAGGAAGAGGCAAGTTGGTGAGGAAAATCATTATCAGCTAGTTCTTCCAGTGGGAGACATGGTGATGAAAAGCCTGCATGACGACATGGGTCATTTGGGCATTGACCGGACCCTTGATCTTGCAAGGGCCAGATTCTTTTGGCCCAGAATGGCTACTGACATTGAGACAGAGATTAAGATTTGCAGTTGTAGGTACTACAACAGTCCTTTTAAGGACTCTAGCTCCCATAATTCCACTGCTTCCGGTAACTCCACATACGTCACGATCAGTAACCTCCGCAACCTTTAAATTGGGGGGTCAGCCCCAATTTCGGTCTCTCTGTTCAGGACTTTCGCTCCGTAGGACCCCTGATGAAAAGAGAAACCAGCTTGTCTCAGAAGACTAAGAACCAACGTGCTTTTGTAGACACCATTGCCCACGGTGATAAATGCACTAGTAGCGTCCTTTTCTTAACTGAGTTAACTGGTAATAAGTTACACAAGTAACGTTGCGCTGCGACCAAAGCAGTTATTGAAAAGTTTAGAAGTGACAGGATTCCTTCCAAGAGTAATTGTGTGAACCGGCACATCGACAGTCAGAGAATTTTCCTCCTGAAACGGACTTTCGGAACCAAGAGGACTCTCTGCACACAGTGGAACCAGACGGACATCCCCAACTCTGGCAAGGACCCAAGAAGTGCGGACTTTCCACTACCCTCTCAATACGAGCAGACGTTCACTACAGTAAGGCTGGCATTTGGGCACGTTAGTTAATCTGTAGTATTGTTAAGTGCTATTTAAACTTAGGGACAGTTTAAGTACGCATATTGAATTTTGTTGTCTGAAATCTGTGCTGCTTTTATAGCTAGGCTGTTGCATGCACTTCTTTTCTAACCTCCTGACTCGGTCTTATACTCTTGTACACCGTCAGTATTTCAGTGTTAACTTGTAACGTTATCAGTATTGGGATCAGGAAAACTCCGACAAAGTCCTTTGTCTGGAGTAGACCACGCGGTACGCCTCCCTTCCCCCATATACTTTGATAACATCACAAGCACTGTTTCATTGTACCTGAGCGCATCTTGGTGCGCGTACACAACACCCATTCACACCTCCGTGAGCGCATACACGCCTCACGTGTTTCCTGTTGCCGTTCCTTCTACCTCGCAGTTCTTCTTCCACTGCGCAGTCGCGTATGTGAACACGCCTCAAGGGCTCAGTCGCTTGCTTGGTAGCTGAGAGGCAACATCTCTCTCTCTCTTTCTCTCTCGTACACGACCGCTCGTGTACACACGCACATAAGTACACACACACCCCTACACACACGCCTTGTTTTGTTATAATGATCATTGTTTATGAGTTCAATCACCGTCATTAACTTGACAGTGTTGTATAAATAAATTTGATTATTTTTGTAAACTGTATTTGTCTGTGTTGTTACTTTATTCATTGAAGCCACCCAATTTGCCAAGAACTCTCAAAATCCTTCAGATATTTAATTGTTATTGGATACTATTGATTTTAGTATATTTGTAATACTTCAAGTAATACATTATTGCTATATTAGTAGGTTAAAATAATAATTAAAGATAACTTTAATGAGACTGGTTGTGTTATTAATTTGAGACTGGTTGATAACACCGAGTGCTCCTAAGCAGCACTCGACCCATTGCACCTACAATTCTTTGAGCTTTAAACAAATAAAAGGTAAATACAATGACCTTTGTTTCTGTATTTGAGCTCTTTGTGTGTGTTAACATATCACTTACTTAGCTTACTGCTAAGAGACTTTGGTTGATCTCAGCTCCTTCTATGCGACTGTGTCTGTTTGTTTTTTTGGTGTCTGATGCCCTTTCACTTCCTGCCAGGTCTATAAACCACATACTGCAGGCAAGAAAGACAGATACACGTGTCTCATGTTGTCATTAAACACCATGTGAAATAGTTTTTTAATAATAAACATATGTGACCATATCAAGTGATGGACATACCTGCCAACTGTCTGCTGGTTTGGAGAACGAGAAGAAAGCGGATTTGCTCCACTTGTTCCCTGTGTGTGCTCCTAGCTGCCGTGAGAAATCACCTTTTCAAGATGAAGGAGGTGACAGTAGGACAGAGAGACCAGAGACAGATACAGAGGGAAGTGATCAGGGTATGTAGTCATCAATACACCATACTAAAACTGCCCCGTACCGGGCAGCTTCGGGCGTCGTCTCTTCCGCAGCAGTGAGGACTGAACGCACCGAAGGCCAACGGTCGTGTCCTCTCCTCCACCACACCATCAGCGGGCAGCAGGTTCGGAATAAAAATTTTATTATTGATAACAGAGCCACAGCACATTTATATCATATTTTAATCTGTCTAGTATACTTAAGAGATTGAGTGAGTGTTTACATTAATTTTCTTTTGTTTTGGAATTGTAGAAATTCGCTTATGTGCTGTACCCTAATCCCTCCAATAAATAAATTCTTATGAGATTAAAGAGCAAAAAAGGATCGAAGGAAATTTTGTCATATTAAGTATAGCCTCGCATACAGTAAATTAAGGGTCTCATACGATTAACAACGCAAAAGATTCGCCCACAGTTCGAAGCCTATTCTCCCAGAAGAACCCAGTTACACGCCCCTGACACCGTTGAGGTGTTTAAAACCCTTTTTTCCGGCAACCAACAAGTGCCAGGATCATGAGAGGTGAGCTGTCATGAATGAGTGTGGTCGCGTGGAGCACCCCGGGCGCCAGGCTGTTCCTCGGCGGTGAGACGGGCGGCGGCAGCGGGGCGGACACCCAGACGGACGACAGTGAGGAGCCGGACGAGTCACCTCGACCATAGGTCTACGCAGACGCGCTGGTGGAACGGCGGAGGGTCTCGAGTGAGGGACCCCGGGAGTGAAGTGGCGCAGCCAGCACCCACGCCGGCCCCACGGGTCCTAACCCCTTACACGGAGGGCCTATCACAGCCGCGGACAGGTGAGCCCACGGCTCTGGGCTCCAACATTTGGCGCCCGAACAGGGACATGAAAAATATTTTAGGGATTTTCCTCAAGATTAATGATTCAAGATTGATGAGAGGACCGAAGAACCTTGAGTGAATTACTCCTTGCATCTGATGAAGATTTCAATTTGAATATTAATCAGCACTCGAGGGGAAGGACGTCTCTATTAAATATATTGAATTAAATTTTTGAGCTTCGAGAGAGAAGACAGCAACAGGATCCCAGCTGCTGCTGATGAAGAGTCCCTAAAGGAGTCCCCTAAAGGAACAAAGGATCGAGTGAGCTGTGACGACCCGACGAAGGGACAACGGCGGAGATCCAAGAAAAAGCAGAAGCATAATGATATCTACAAGGATCGCCTTATCCATTGTGGAATCATCATAACTCATCGCTATTGCCAAAAGCTGGTGAGAGAAGGAGCAAGCACCGTGGAGTGTGAGCTGAACAGCCAAAAGGTCTGACATACCTCCCGTCTAGAGAGCGCTAAAGGACGGCATTGGAGTGCAGACACCTTGATACCACAAATTATGGAGAAACGAATAGAGCCATTACAAGCCTCAACCAGCGGAGCAGCTGAAGGAGGAACAGAGGATCCTTTATATAGAGCTGTATTAAGTAACAACAAAAGATGTACCATAGTACCATTAGGGGCTGGATATCATACTTGGTCGCCAAGGTTAAAAATGTCAGTAGAAGACATGTATAAAGATGCGGATCAGCCCAACATAGGAGAAAGCATAAGAGAATGGCATAAAAAGAAGTCTGGAGAACCTAACTTTGTCTTAGGGGAGTGGGATGGAAACATACTGGCTATAGCGAGGAGTCCCATAAATGATGCCATAAAGAAATCCGATATAGAACCATGGATGAAATGGTGGACCAACATCCTGGAAGCTTATGCGGGACATGTGGATGGAATATATAGCCCCAGAACTGAGTATGATCCTCTTATTAAAATGATAGCTGCAGTCTCAAAAGTAAATGTGCATATAACCGACCCTAAGACTAAAGCAATATCCCAGTTTAGAGAACATGAAGCAGAAAGAACTCTGATGGAAAAGGCAGCACAAAGGAATAGGGAGACAAGAATGATTGTTGAAGATGATGACCAAAGTGATGTCGGTCCGACAACTCAGCCAAGTGAGGAAGAAAGGAATCCTGAGGAAGAAAAAGAACAGGAGGATGAATGCCCACAATTTTCCCCACAAGGCCGACGGCAAGTAAAAGAGCGAGAAGAGGATATGGGATTAGCTGGCCTAAAAGAATCACATGAGAGTAAGAAGTCCACACCGTCGTCTGGGGCACGAACCAATTATACCACCTATACCCCAGTAGGTCTACGCCAAAGTGAAGTTGAAAAATTTCCTTCCAAGCATCTAAGAAGGACCTTTCAAGATGTGACGGAATGGAGGAAAAGAATACCAATGGGTCATGAAGCTAATTCCCAAAGTGAAGATGAAGACATACTTTTTGATAGAGCGTCGGTAAAAAAGAAAGAAAAGTCCACAAGACCTAACCAGGAGGAGTATGATGATTATCGACCGGGATTGATGCCAATGACCAGAGCCAAGAAAGTAAGCAAGAATGGAGGAATATATCATTTGGAAGGAGATTTGAATGACATTGAAACTGATGCCTTAATAATTTTCACAAATACCATGTGGAAGATCCATAACAAAAAGCTAAGACATCGTGTAACTGCTCTTGCCGGAAAAACCTGGGAGACTGAGCTTAGAAATGACCGAGAAGCCAAGATAAGTGAAGGAAGAACAAATGAGGTACTGACTGTGAGTGGAGGAGACTCTCCCCATTATGCTATAATGCTTAAACCTTTCAATCCATACGGGCCTGGTGAATCCAAAACTGATCATAAGAAAAGGCTGATAAATACAATAGAGGATCTGTTACATCAAGCCAACAGTAAAAACTGTCGAAGAGTGGCAATCCATGTGGATGGATTAAGGACAAGGGAGTTGCCGTGGGAGGATGCAGAAGATGCTGCCTTCATAGCTGCTGATAACTATAGAGAAGTATATGGAAAAATTTCCTCATTAAAAGAAATCGTGGTGGTCATAACTCCTAGACAAGGAGACGCGAGAAGAGCTAGAAAGCTAGGAAACGCAACTACACAATCTGCACAGTCTAACATGTCATCCTCAGAAATATCTGGCACTGCCCATCCACCCTTCTCTGTGGTGGGAATCTGATATGACTTAGTCATCTTACCAACCATATTGTTAACAAAGATTGCTTACAGTTGTTATTTCCTTTTTAGCTTTTGTCTTCACCTCAGTGAGATCACGGCACTTGTCTTAACACTTTAGTGTTTCAAAGTCCGCCCGTAACCAAACGAAACCCTTATGTTTCTCTGGCCAGCGTACCCGCAGTCAAGCCAAATCGCTATTTTAATTTCACAAGGAAACTAAAATGCCACACTCTGGTCAATAATTGCCGTTAGCACACCTTTACTGTCCCTGGGACCAACGCAAAAAACCTCTATAACACTTCAGTTATAGTTTTAATCGGCAGCCCTACTGTTGTCAAAGACTTTTTCTGGTCCTTGTTACAATAGTCTCCGAAATAAATTGCGTAAGGGATTACAGCTTCTGCCACAATTATTACCAAGTCACACAGGCTCCTGACTGGAATTACAACGCTGTCACTTAACCAGTGGTTACACCCGTGTTACGTAGTTTTAATACGCACACTTAAAAGCCACAATGTTGGACACAAAAACACACAATGATGTAAGCTCCGGCTTGTAGCAAATCAATGTGGGCCCAAAATTTATCCAAACCTTCCTGAATTTTCACTTGCAGCAATAATTTTCAGGTTCTTTTATCTGCGCAACAAAAAATGGAAGAAACTCACCGCTCAAGATGAACGATCCACTTCTGAAGGCGAGATCCGGGTCACGGCACCAAATTGAAAGATTCTTGCTGTGTGAGGTGTCTTCAGGCAAGGAGTGGAAGCAGCCGGTAGATGGTCGATTTGTTTTAATAACAAACATCAAACAAAACAGGTCCAACAATAAAGCAAAATAAACAACTGGAGAAGTATTCAAGGAAATCTCGTACAACAGTAGTTAATACGCAAATCCTGTCAAGAATAACTTCTGACTTCTCAGGAATAACTTCTAAAGTATCGTTAGTTGTTTATGCTTATATACCTGTATGGGGGGAGTGGTTTTCGACTTCCCGGGTGTGTGTTTAAATCTTGTAGGCCAATGGAAGAGAGAGGCTAAGCCTCTTGTGGCCAATCATATTATTGTTCTTGTTATCATGTGATGCCTGCAGTCGCCACTATGTGGCACTCTTGTTCCATGATTCAGCAGTGTTGGAAGAACCTTTTGTTGCTCAGTGGGGGGTTATCACAAGGGAAGTGGACCGAGCCATAAAGTCCAGTCAACCACAGGTGGTCATGTAGATCAAAAGGAATGGATGGCTTCGGGGTTCCCTGTGAGAAGGTAGATTGGGAGATCTCCCATTGTTGTGTGAAGATCTCCCATTGTTCCCAGGGAGTAGAGGTGTTTTAGAGGGGGTTGGTGTGAAGAGAATCTGGGGAAATTCTCTTTGAATGTGTGGGGCTATGTGACTGTGTGTGCTCGGGAAAGCCTTTTGGTGTCTTGGTGCAGACCCAACCAAATGTGAAAAAACCACTGGAAACCACTGAAATCTAACAGCCTGTTGCACCTACACAGTTTCAAACATTAATGATCATCACTTGCATTGATCGTATAGTGGTTTGTACATTTTTAAATCATCCTTGATTGTACAGTGCTTTTGTAAACATGTTCCATATTCACAGGCAGGGGCGAAACCCTGTGGGAGAAATTCCCCTGCTGCCCTGATGACCCGACAGCGGCACTTGCTCTACAAGCTGTGAATATGGCAACCTTCAGTTGTTAGTATTTTCTCCTTTATCATCCAGTTCATTCTTTCCAGTACTCCACAGTGACCAAGGGCCAGATTTTGAATCTAGGACGATCAAGGAACTCTGTGATCTAGCAGGGATCCATAAAGTCAGAACCACACCATACCATCCCAGGGGGAACCCTGTGGAAAGGTTTAATAGGACACTTCTCAGTATGCTTGGTACACTCAAAACTGAAGACAAAAGTCACTGGCGAGATTTTGTGAAACCGCTAGTACATGCTTATAACTGTACCAAACATGTAACAACAGGTTTCACGCCCTACGAGCTAATGTTTAGGTGGCAACCTCGGTATCCTCCTGTACGGCAATACCCTTTAAAAGGGAAAAGATAAGTTTAAGCTATTGATCTGGCATTCAATGTTCCATTAAACCGTAGTCATCAGAAATGGAGCGGTACAAGAAATGGATATGATTGTGACTCACTCTCAGTATGTCCAGGCTTTGAAAACCCATCTTCAAGAGAGTTATCAATTGACTACTAAAAATGCTGCCAAAACTGCCGAAAGGAACAAAATTAGGTTTGACAGGCATATGACTGAATCAACCTTAGATGTAGGTGTTCATGTGTTAGTGAGAAATGTATGCCTCAGAGGAAAACATAAGCTGGCTGACAAATGGGAAGCCATTGTCTATGTTGTCGGTAATCGGAATGGAGACCTTCCAGTTTACACAGTGAAGCCAGAAAACAAAGATGGTCCCCTCAGAACTTTGCACAGAGATCTCTTGTTACCATGTAGGTTCTTACCAGCTTTTGAAGAAGAACCTCCTCCTGTGTCAAACCTCAAAGGTCTCCCAACGTGTTTCAATCAGCTGTAATGGATGTGCTGGAAGGCTTTGACTCTGATGAGCAAGGGCCAGAGTTTAACTCTGAAGATGAGGAAGACTATCAGTCATATTCCTTT